AAAAAAAAAAAAAAAAAAAAAAGAAATATTGGAAAGATGCTAGTCACCAGGACCCAAGGAACCAAAATTGCATGTGATGGCCTCAAGGGTCATGTGTTTGAAGTTATTCTTGCTGATCTGCAGAATGATGAAGTTGTATTTAGGAAATTCAAGCTGATTACTGAAGATGTTCAGGGCAAAAACTGCCTGACCAACTTCGATGGCATGGATCTTACCCATGACAAAATGTGTTCCATGGTCAAAAAAAATGGCAGACAATGACTGAAGCTCATGTTGATGTCAAGACTACTGATGGTTACTTGCTTCGTCTGTTCTGTGTTGGTCTTACTAAAAAACGCAACGATCAGATACAAAACACCTCTTATGCTCAGCACCAACAAGTCTGCCAAATCCGGAAGAAGATGATGGAAATCATGACACAAGAGGTGCAGACAAATGACTTGAAAGAAGTGGTCAGTACACTGATTCCAGACAGCACTGGAAAAGACATAGAAAAGGCTTGCCAATCTATTTATCCTCTCTATAATGTCTTCGTTAGAAAAGTAAAGATACTGAAGAAGCCCAAGTTTGAATTGGGAAAACTCATGGAGCTTCACGGTAAAGGCAGTAGTTCTGAAAAAGCTACTGGGAATGAGACGGGCTAAAGTTGAATGAGCTGATGGGCATGAACCACCAGTCCAAGAATCTGTTTAAAGTTCAGACTTATAATAGTGGCAAATAAAAAATCTTGTGAAAAAAATAAATAAATTAAAAAGGACAACATATTTGTAGAAATTTAAATTTGAAAGGGTGTGTATAATTTTATGTACCAGTAAACCAATTAGCTACCATTTAATTTCTTTTACCTTAGAAAATAAATACAGATACTCCCATCTGTATACTTACCATCTAATACAATTCCAGCGATTTCTCTCCCAACAGGAAAGAAATCCTTTTTCATCTTCATTTCTGCCAGGAGCTAAATCATGACAAAGGCTGTTAACATACTACTGTCAGAAGAAATCCTGGACTCTATCATGTAGGAGGAAAGTGACAGCAAAAGTCAAATCACATAAAGAGCAAATACGGGTTCAATTTTTGGAATTAAGACAAAGCAAATAACTTCACGAAATAGATTTCTCTAAAGGGTATGAAACCAAGAATATGCTGAGGCTTTAGTTGATATGCAGGACTTAGGAATGAATAGTATTATTCAAATTACCATTAACATCCTTTGTTTAACATCTTTACTCTGCCAAGTATGAAGGGAAATTATAGCCAAAACATTTCTTGGTTGGCTAAACACTATTTATCAGTCATCTTATTCAGGTGATGAGAGAGTAGTCTGGAAAGAACAGTGTTGAATAAAGGGGTACAGCCAATGAGAACAAAGGATTCTCCAATCCTATACCCTTTAAAATCACCTGAGTCTCAAAAGCCTTGGGTTAGGGAGCGGGTGAGAAGATGTGATAGATACAAACAGGTAATCTGCCATATAATTTCAGATTCGTGGTGAATGGAGTTTCTTTTGGTTAAGGCTAAATTTTTAAGAGATTGATATTTTATTAGATTGTGACCAAATTAATTATAAGTACTGTCTTTTAAAGTAACAGGGTGTACTAAGATAAGCCTGTGGTTTAAGCTCTGGAACATTAGAAATGCTGAATGTATTTGTAGATACCACAGTATTTTAAGAACAGCAAGTAAAAAAAAAATTGAAATAATTCTCTTCTATATTTTTCAATTTTGTGATCTCCTGGTATGTATATTTGTCAGAAGTCTCTTTTTCAATGTGGAACATTATACTTTTCCTAAGATGTTCATATGACATTCTTTTTTTTTTTTTTTTGAAATGGAGTCTTGTGCTGCCACCCAGGTTGGAGTGCAGTGGTATAATCTTAGCTCACTGCAACCTCCATCTCCTGGTTTCAAGCAATTCTCCTGCCTCAGCCTCCTGAGCAGCTGGGATTACAGGCACCCACCACCATGCCCGGCTAATTTCTTGTAGTTTCAGTAGAGATGGGGTTCCACTATGTCAGCTTAGACAGGAGAATCGCTTGAAACCAGGAGGTGGAGGGTGCAGTGAGCAGAGGTTGCACCACTGCACTCTAGCCTGGGCGACAAGAGCGAAACTCTGCCTCAAATTAAAAAAATCAATAAAAATGAAGATAATAAATTTTTCATATTCGGAGGTCAGTTATCATTATATACATACAATAAATACATTAAGAAATTTTCATTTTACTTTGGGCCATTAACAAAAGCACCAATACCTTTGTATTTATCTGACTCAGAGCGCAAGCTTTAACTTGAAGTTTCACAAAGTTGTCCTCTGTAACCGGAAGATTTTCCTAGAACCAAGTGATAATAAAATAATGTTATTTTACACATTCCTATGAGAACAGGTCTTAATGCTGTGAAAATTTTCACATATAATTAAACAAAATTAAACAGACCCCAAATCTCACAGCGGATTTTAACAATTATAATTAATTATAGAAAACTACATAATACAAAATAAAGAAAATATGGGGGTACAATTTTAAAAAATCTTTAGAACATATATTTTAAAAAGCACTCAGATAACAATATGGATATATGTGTAGACAATAAAGTTAGAATAACAAAGTAAAGCAGCAAATACTGTACTCCTTTATTTCAACATAAATAATATCTTCACATTTACAGGATATCCTTAAACAGATATACACATAACATATAGCCTTTACTAATGTTTAGAATTTGTTTGTTTTGTTTTGAGACAGGGTCTCATTCTGTCTCCCGGGCTGGAGTGCAGTGGAGCGATCACAGCTTACTGCAGCCTCCACCTCCAGGGCTTAAGTGACGCTCCTGCCTCAGCCTTCCGAGTAGCTGGGGTTACAGGCATGCACCACCACACCCAGCTGATTTTTAATTTTTTGTAGGAATGGGGTATTGCTATGTTCCCCAGGCTGGTCTCTAAGTCCTGGGTTCAAGCAATCCTCCTGCCTCAGACTCCCAAAGTGCTAGGATTAAAGTCATAAGACATAGTGCCTAGCCCTTAAGTTTTCTTAATGCTGTAAGTGAAATTCTTTATTTATTCTTTTTTTTTTTTTTTTAAAGGCGGGGTTTCACCATGTTGGTCAGGCTGGTCTTGAACTCCCGACCTCAGGTGATCCGCCCGCCTTGGCCTCCAAAGTGCTTGGATTACAGGCGTGAGCCACCATGCCCAGCCGTGAAATTCTTTTTTTAAAATATAATAAAAAAAAAAAATAGAGACAGCGTCTTGCTGAGTTGCCCAGGTTGGTCTCAAACTCCTGGGCTAAAATAATCCTCCTGTCTCGGTCTCCCAAAGTGCTGGGATTACAGATGTGAGCCATTGTGCCCAGCCAGTGAGCCAGTGAAATTATTTTTTTCTTTTATTTATTTTTTTCCTTGAGATAGAGCCTCTCTCTGTCACCCAGGCTAGAGTGAAGTGGTGCGACCTCAGCTTACTGCAAGTTCTGCCTCCTGGGTTCAAGTGATTCTCCTGCCTCAGCCTCCTGAGTAGCTAGGATTATAGGCATGAGTCACCATGCCTGGCTAATTATTTTTGTACTTTTAATAGAGATGGATTTCGCCATGTTGCCCAGGTTGGTCTTGAACTCCTGACCTTAAACTCCTAATTTAAATAATTAAATTAGTCTCCTCTACCCTGATATGCCCAAGATTAGATCAAAAGCTGGCCAAGAATAGCCACTTATAAAGCATTAAGAAAATTTAAGACTGGGCACTATGTCTCATGCTTTAATCCTGATCTGCCCATCTTGGCTTCCCAAAGTGCTGGGATTACAGGCATGAGCCACTGCGCCGAGCCAGCCAGTGAAATTCTATATAGTCCTTTATTCAATTATTCCTTAAAACGTGCCTTGGACATTTCATCATGCCCCATGGGATTCTGGGGTCAACATATGCAACTGAACCTAATCACCCCTCAGATTCCACTTCTAGATAGAAATTCAAAGGCAAGGCCAGGCACGGTGTCTCATGCCTGTAATCTCAGCACTTTGGGAGGCCGAGGCAAGTGGATCACTTGAGGTCAGGAGTTTGAGACCAGCTTGGCCAACATGGTGAAAACTGTCTCTACTAAAAATACAGAAAACAGCTGGGCAAGATGGCGTACACCTGTAGTCCCAGCTACTTGGGAGGCTGAGCCAGGAGAATCGCTTGAACCCAAAAGGTGGAGGTTGCAGTGAGCTGATGCTGTGCCACTGCACTCCAGCCTGAGTGACAGAGTTAGATCCTGTCTCAAAAAAAAAAAGAAAAGAAAAAAGGAAATTTAAAGGTTTTAGGGTCCAAATTCAGACATTCAATATTATCAACCTATATTATTAAATATCACCTCCTCTAAACAACTGTACCTGGTACTAGTAATTAAATCAGTCTCCTCTGCCCCTGATATGCCCAAGATTAGATCAAAAGCTGACCAAGAATAGCCATTTTTATTGCCCTTCCTGTGATGTACCAAAGGGATTACTGTGTTTTGTTTGTCATGAACACAATCTGAGCACATCTTTTTAAATCTCAGATTTGACAAAACTCGGTAATAATATGAAGATGTTCAATAATATTGATGAGTTTGTGAATTTTATTCATGATAGTGTAAACCTGGAGATGTTTCTTCCCAAGAGCTGATCAACCGCAGACCTCTTCCTGATGAATGCGCATGATAGTGTAAACCTGGAGATGTTTCTTCCCAAGAGCTAATCAACCGCAGACCTCTTCCTGATCAATGATAGAAGCCAAGCTTTCTGAAACATAGACTCCTGGCCTGTTTTTGTCTTTTTGAGACGGGGTCTTGCTCTATCACCGAGGTTGGAGTGCAGTGGTGCAAAGAGCTCACTGTAGTCTTGACATACACAGGTGGGTGCCACCAAGCCTAGCTAATTTTTTTTTTAGTAGAAATGAGTGTCTCAGGGGGGATACCAGGATCACAAAGGTGGTTTTCCCAGGGCGAGGCTTATCCATTGCACTCTGGATGTGCTGACCCCTGCGATTTCCCCAAATGTGGGAAACTCGACTGCATAATTTGGGTAGTGGGGGACTGCGTTCACGATTTCCTAGGTTTTAATTAAAAAAAAAAAAAAAAAAAAAAGAAATGGGTGTCTCACTTTATTGCCCAGGCTGGTCTTAAACTCCTGGGCTCAAGTGATCCTCCTGTCTCAGCCTCCCAAAGTGCTGGGATTACAGACGTGCGCCACTGTGCCCAGCCTAAATGTTTTAAGAGTTAATGAAAGACAAGAAAGAAAACTGGATTGTGTTCATCATCTGAACTCCCATTATTATTATGAAATACTGATTTACAAAGAGCACTTACTTTTAATCCCTAAATTTATAGAAGAATGCTTTCGGCTTGCCACAAATCTTTCTAATAATCACCAATATTGTATATGAAAATTCTACTATTAATGCTTAAAGTAATAAAAAACTAGCGATCACTGAAAACTTAGTAAATGAGGTAACTTTGGCAATCTCTGAAATTTGTATGGAAAACAATATTTTTCTACCTCTTCCATTTCACATATGAGATAAGGTCTTTTCTGAAAATTTGCATTATTGTGGTATTCAGAATAAACTGGGTTACTTTTGCAACATGTAAGACTATTAAGTTTGTTCTGTCTTCCTAATGCCTTTTATACCACCAACCTGAAGAACTAAAAACTCTTGCAGCAATTTCTTTTAAAAATATTTTTTAATGTAAGGTAGTGTAATGCCTACAGCTTTATCCTTTTGGTCAAGATGGCTTTGGCTATTCAGAGTTTTTGTGGTTCCATACGATTTTTAGGATTATTTTTCTGTTTCTGTGAAAAATGCCACTGGCATTTTGATAGAGATTGCATCAAGTCTGCAGATGGCTCTGGATAGAAAGGACATTTTAATAATATTAATTCTTCCAATGAGTGAACATAGACTATTTTTCTACTTATTACTATTCTCTTCAATTTATTCCATCAATACTTTATAGTTTTCAATGTAGAGATATTTTACCTCCTTGGTTAAATTTATTCCTGGGTATTTTATTTTTTGTAGCTATTATAAATGGAATTGCCTTCTTAATTTCTTTCTTTCTTTTATTTATTTATTTTTTTTTGAGACAAGGTCTTGCTCTGTTGCTCAGGCTGAAGTGCAGTGTCAAGATCACAGCTCACTACAGCCTTGTCCTCCTGGGCTCAAGTGATCTTTCCACCTTAGCCTCCCAAGTAGCTGGGACTACAAGTACGAGTCACCAAGCCTGGCTAACTAAAAAAAAAATTTTTTGTAGAAACGAGGTCTCCCTGTATTGCCCAGGCCAATCTTGAACTCCTGGGCTCAAGTCCTTCCGCCCTCGGTCTCCCGAAGTGCTGGAATTACAGGTGCCTAGCCTTTCAATTTCCTTTTCAGATAGTTTGCTGTTGGTATACAGAACTGCTATTTGGCTGGGCATGGTGGCTCATGCCTGTTAATTCCAGCACTTTGGGAGGCAGAAGCAAAAGGATAGCCTGAGCCCAGGAATTTGAGACCAACCTGGGCAATGTGGCAAAACCTGCCTCTACAAAAGAAAAAAAAGTTAGTTCGACAGGTATAGGGGCTCATGCCGATAGTCTCTACTACTCAGGAGGCTAGGGTGGGAGCTGGTGGCGGGGGAGAGGGCAGTGAGCCCAGACTGCATCACTGTACTCCAGTGCAGGCGACAGAGCAAGATCCTGTCTCAAAAAAACAAAACAACAGCAACAACAAAAAAAGAATGGCTACTGATTTTTTTTATTTTGTATTCTGCAACTTTACTGAATTTGTTAATTAGTTCCAATAGTTTTTTGGTGGATTCTGTAGGGTTTCTATACATAAGGTCACGTCATCTGCAAACAGGGATGGTTTGACTTTCTTCTTTGCAATTTGAATGCTCTTTCTTTCTTTCTATTGCCTAATTGCTCTGACTAGGACTTCTAGTACTATGTTGAAAAGAAGCAGTGAAAATGGGCATCCTTGTCTTGTTCCAGATTTTAGAAGAAAAGCTTCCAACTTTTTCCTGTTTAGTATGATGTTAGCTGCAGGTTTGTTTTACATGGCTTTTATTTTATTGAATATACCTAATATACGTATTTAGGTCTATTCATTCTATACCTAATTTATGTAGGGTTTTTATCATGAAGGGATGCTGAATTTTATTATATGTTTTTTCTGTATCTATTGAGAAGATAGAGAGTTTTTGTCCTTCATTCTGTTAATGTGAGATATCACATATTATTGATTTGCTAATGTTGAACTATCCTTGTATCCCTGGGATGAATAGCACTCGACCATGGCCATCAGTGAAATGGAAATCAAACCCACAAGAAGATATCCCCTGATCCCCATTAGAATGGCTATTATCAAAAAGACAAAAAATAACAAATGTTGGTGAGGATGTGGAGAATGGGAACTCTTATACACCATTGGTGGTCATGTAAATTAGTATAGCCATTATAGACAAAAATATGGCTGTTCCTCAAAAAATTAAAAATAGAACTACCAGGTTGGGTATAGTGGCTCACGCCTGTAATCCTAGCACTTTGGGAGGCTCAGGCGGGTGGATCACCTGAGGTCAGGGGTTTGAGACCAGCCTGGCCAACACAGAGAAACCCTGTCTCTACTAAAATACAAAAATGAGCCAGATATGGTAGTGCACACCTGTAATCCCAACTACTCGGGAGGCTGAGGCAGGAGAATCACTTGAACCTGGGAGGCAGAGTTGCAGTGAGCTAAGATCGCACCACTGTACTCCAGCCTGGGCAGCAGAGTGAGACTCTGTCTCAATTAAAAAAAAAAATAGAACTATCATGTAATCCAACAATCCCTCTCCTGGGTATACAAACATCCAAAGGAAATGAAAGCAATATGTCAAAGTGATATCTATACATCCATGTTTACTGCAGCACTATTCACAATAGCCAAGATATGGAATCAACCTAAGTGTCCATCAACAAATGAATGGATAAAGAAAATGTGGTATATACACCCAAAAGAATACTATTCAGCCATAAAAAAAATAAAATCCTGTCATTTGTGAAAATGTGAATGAATCTAGAGAACATTGGGTTAAGTGAAATAAGCACAGACAGACAAATGCTACATGATATCACTCAAATGTGGAATCTAAAAAAGTTGATTTCATAGATGTAGAAATTCCAGTAATGGTTACCAGAGGCTGGGGAGATTACAGGGGTGGGAGCTGGGGAGAGAGGTTGGTCAACAGGTACAAAGTTACAGATAGATGGAAGGAATAGGTTCTGGTGTTTTATTGTACAGTAGACTGACTATAGTTAACAATGTATTACATATTTCAAAATAGCTAGAAGAGAAGATTTTGAATGACACAACAAAATGGCAAGTATTTTAGTGATGGATATGCTAATTACCATGATTTGATCATTACATATTTATACATGAATCAAAATATCACACTGTGCCCAATAATATATACAATTATGTGTCAATTAAAAACAAAATGAAACAAAAAATTTTTGCTACACTACAATATGAACCACCATTTTCACATACAATTTAAAGGAAAGTACTGTAATTTGAGGAGTTTCATTTAAGTAATTTTTGTTCATTAAGTCCCACTCAAAATAACATGTCATTTAAAAGTGGGTTTATGGCATATAAAGATACACTATCTTGTTTACTTTAATGATTAAACATTTTTTCTTACCCTTTCTTGAAATACAAATGTTATTTCTTCATCTGTGGAACTCTGCTGGAAATATAAGCCTTTCATAGTGACCTAAAAATAAATATATATACATGAAATAAAAGAACAAGTCTTCCAGACTAAATGAAAGCAAAAATGAAAAAATAGTGCTCGCAAAGGATAAAATGACAACTATAAATGTAGACTTCAAATAAGTAAATTTAAAAAGTCTTTCACCAAGTGATCAAATAAGAGAATATGCAACAGCTTCTGGGTACCTGTCTTACTGAGAATGAGTTTACAGTTCAACCTTTTACTACAAAGGCAAACATGCTTCATTTTGCTTTCCTATACGATAAAAAAAGATTACTTAAAAGAAACCTTATGATGGCCAGAGAAGCTCAATTTTATTTACCTTTTATTAAAATTTCCTTTAATTACCAATGTTTACCAAAGCTTTCAAAGTCTCAAAGATCATTAAAAAGGACAAAGTGAACAGCCAATACACTGGTTGAAATTGTGGCCCTAATTCTTCTGTTTCAGTCTATAAATTATTTAATGGGAGTATTTAAACTTATATTCTGTGGATTTCTTGAAGCATCTCTAAGGATTCTACAATTGTTTCTTTAATTTTCAGAGTAATTGTACGGTAAGACTATTTATTTAAATGCAAATTTTATAGAAGTATAAAATACAGGAAAGTGCACAAATCCCACAGCATATAACTTGTTGAATTTTACAGTGTGGATATGCCCACGTCATGGCAGAGGACACATTATCACTAGACCTCCAGAAGTTCCCGGTGTCCCCTTCTCCTCCTAAGGAGACCCAATATCCTAAATTTTAACAGCACAGATTTTTGTCTGCTTCTGAACTTTATATAAATAAACTTATACTCTTTAATGTCTTTTCTTTCTTTCTATATTAGGTTTGTGAGTCTCACTCATGCAGTTGCTTGTAGCTGTAGTCCATTCATTCGCATTGCTATATAGTACTCCACTGTATAAACAAATTGCTATTTATCCATTCCCCTATAAATAGACACTTGAATTGTTTCCAGTTTGGGGCTCTTAGGAATGGTTCTGCTAAAAACATCCTTGTATATACTTTTTGGTGAAAGTACTATTATTTCATTTATTCTATAAATGAGGAAAATGAATCTTAGCTTAAACATATAGTTGATGTCTCACAGCACCAGCTGGGCCAGAACTGGGAATATAAACCAGGTGCTACTGAATCCAAAGTCACTACTCCTAACCATGGCATTTAATTATTTCCTACTGAGCTGCTAACATTAGATACATCAGCTAAAGTGGAATACTTTTAAGATCATTATTAAGTACTTGTTGATAGTTCTGGATACATAATTTACAGGGCCTAGTGCAAAATGAAAATGTGGAAAGCCTTGTCTAGAAATTATTAAAATTTCAAGATAGCAGAGCATGAAATCACGCATGTCTCTTCTGAGTGTCAGGTCAGTGAGACTGCATAGGCCACATGCCCATAAAGCCAGCCCTCTGTGTTGAATGTTAGTGGATCTACTTGGATCTAAACATGTAAAGAGTTTTTACAGAGTGTAGTTGTACAATGATTGCTGGTTTCTCAGATGTGATAATCTAATGCTGGAACTAACAGAAATGAATACACATTTAAGATATATATAGAAATTATGTATGTAGCATGCATCAACGAAGTATATAAAAGCAGGATTAAGCTAGGTCAAATGATTAATTCTAACCCTTTGGTTGCAAAAGGTCTTTATTTGTGTCAATGTTTTTGTTTGGGAGCTGGGGAGAACCTAAGCATAGTTACAGCAGTTTGTATTCCCTCCAGCATTAAATCTAACCTCTTTTGCCTACTTTTGAAGGTTCTCTAAAATGCATACTCACTTTCTCTACTCCACCTTACTGCTCCACAACATCCAAGCACATACTCTCTGCCTATCTAGTCAGTATGACTTCACATCATATGGTTACCCCGTCTCAGAGCTCCTAGGTATGGCCTGTTCTCTGACAGAATGTTGTACTTCACAGATTCTGCTAAGTAAATAAAGTTCAAGTTCTACCCGGTCTCCGGACTCATCCCCAGTGACAATCACTCCATCTGTTCCATGCTTCCAGATTTCATTACATATTAACAAAACCTTGCTTTATTTATTTACTAACTAGGGGGCTTTCCCAACCTGGGAAAATCTATATCCATTATTATTAAATAAAAAAAATCTCTGTTCCTACTCAGTCTAGAGTTACTAGAATTGCCTTTTTGAGAAGTGAAACAATCACATATCAACACCTTGATTTCAAAGCATCTTGCTTTGTGATACTGGGAGGTACTGTTTTCTCTGCTCTTTGAATCTTGAAATACATGGCATATCACCCAGATAAGCAGTCACGTGGACTTTAGACTGTGCCCAGTTTTAAAGACCCTGGAAGATAACTACTTGTCTGTACCCATAGTATCTCCTAAAACAAATATTATATATATAATAATGGCAATATTTTTAGTCACATTATCCTAAATAGTTTCTTTACATTAGGAGAAAATTGCCCTGGTTAGTGGAAAAAAGTAATGTTTTGTTGGTCCAATTAAAAATTGTAAGGGAACAAAAATATCCTTAAAATTACAAAGTAAAAAAAGAGGTGTTTTTTACAAAAGCAGCCAGAAGAAAATTGAGGAAATACTTGTCTTGCAAGTCCAAAAAAGGAATACTGGGTTCCTAATACTAAGAAAATGGTAGAATGAATGGTATTGAAGGCCCACATGGTTTCCTAGGCAGATTAAATAAAACACTTACTCTATTATTCAATAAAATTTTATTTCATTTTATTTTTTGCTTTTGGTCTCACACTCTGCCAGTCTCATGTTATTTAACAAAATTTGTATTGACTTAAAAGACATTTGCACATAGGACATAAAGAACAAAACATTGTATAAAATAAAAATATAAATTAAAATACATAGGCTAGGTGTGGTGGCTCATGCCTGTAATCCCAGCACTTTGGGAGGCGGAGGCAGGTGGATCACAAGGTCAAGAGATTGAGACCATCCTGGTCAACATGGTGTAACCCTGTCTCTACTAAGTATACAAAAATTAGCTGGGCGTGGTGGTGTGCGCCTGTAGTCCCAGCTACTTGGGAGGCTGAGGCAGGAAATCGCTTGAACCTGGGAGGCAGAGGTTGCAGTGAGCCGAGATCATGCCACTGCACTCCAGCCTGGCGACAGAGTGAGACTCCGTCTCAATAAATAAATACAATATATATAATATTTATGACATTTCTAAGAAAAGTCATGTAACTTCAAAACTGTAAGTTCTACTATAAATTTTACTATATCAAAAGAGTACATTATAAAGCTTTTTGGCCAGGGGTGATGGCTCATACCTGTCATCCCAACACTTTGGGAGGCTGAGGCAGGAGGACTGCTTGAGCCCAGGAGTTCCACAGCCTGGGCAACAAAGCAAGACCCTGTCTCTTAAAATAAAATAAACAAATAAATAAGCCTGGTATAGTGGCGCTCACCTGTAGTCCTATCTAGGCATTGGAAGCTGCTGTGAGCTATGATCACCACTATATTCCAGCCTGGACAACAGGGCAAAACCTTGTCTCTTAAAAACATAAAACTTTTTAATAAACCTGTTTAAAAATGTAGGCTGATATAGCCTGTGAAAAGCATAGGGGCCGGGTGCGGTGGCGCATGCTTGTAATCCCAGCACTTTGGGAGGCCGAGGTGGGTGGATCACAAGGTCAGGAGTTCAAGATCAGCCTGGCCAACCTGGTGAAATGCCATCTCTAAAAAAATAAATAAATAAATAGGCTGGGCGAGGTGGCTCACGCCTGTAATCCTAGCACTTTGGGAGGCCGAGGTGGGTGGATCACCTAAGGTCAGGAGTTCAAGACCAGACTGGCCATCATGGTGAAACCCCATCTTATTAAAAAAAAATAATAATAAATAAATACAGAAAGAAAGAAAAGCATAAGAATTTATATTTTAAAACATAATTTTATCAAATTATATTTGATAATTTTTAAATATTTGAATTAATCCACAACTGAGGATTGTGCCAGTAGTACTATAAATTTTTATAATGGTCACACAGTAAACTTACTAAAAATCTGCAGAAACAAAAATTAAGAAGATAGTACCAATTTTAAATAATTTTTAACAAAAGCAGAATGAGGACTTTGCATAAATTAAACACCTGACTATAAACACTTTAAGAAAGTAGTTAATAAAGGTATTGATCTGCTAAGGGGTTTCTAAAAAATCAATGGGAAGTAATTTCAAATGGTTTCATCCTTCTTATAATAGCAACATGAACTCCACTTGCTCTTCTGTTACACTCAATCCCCCAAGAAGCTCATCTATTAATAATTGTAAATAAAACCTCTACAAATCATTCCTTACCTACATTTTCAGGCCAAAAGTGATCTGAGCATCAGACCAACCTGAAATTCAACAGACAAAGCTGGACTCATCTTTCCTCCCAAATAAGAATTTGCTGTACTCTCCAGTCATCAGGAATACCTTAGATCCATTCTATCACCTTCACACTGGTGATGTGTGAACTCCTCAATGCCTCAGGCTTGGGCTATGGCAATAGGCTGACAAATGCTTTCATTTCTCTTCCTCATTCAACCTATCCATTCCCCTATGGCTAATTTAATTCCTGGAAATCCAAACTCCTCTTCTTATATGCTCAAATTTTTATTATTCCCCAACAAAAACTTTATAATACTATGGCCACTTCAGGCTCAGAGTTCAGCTATGTTTCTAACATACTTCTTTTTGTTTTGAGATGGAGTTTCATTCTTGTTGCCCAGGCTGGAGAGCAATGGTGTGATCTTGGCTCACCGCAACTCCGCCTCCTGGGTTCAAGCGTTTCTCTTGCCCCAGCCTCCTGCGTAGCGGGGATTACAGGCATGCGCCACCACAGCTGGCTAATTTGTTGTATTTTTAGTAGAGATGGGGTTTCTCTGTGTGAGTAAGGCTGGTCTCAAACTCCTGACCTCAGGTGATTGACCTGCCTCAGCCTCCAAAAGTGCTGGGATTACAGGCGTGAGCCACCACGCTGGCCTCATTTTTGTTTTAAGGAAAGCAAAGATATATTGTCAAGCAGCTAGACAACAGAAAAACAGATGAAGTCAACTCTGAAATGTGGCCCTGTATGCTCAACCTGGTCACCATCCCAGGCTCTCTTGGGATGTCTGAGTATCCAACACCCTATTCCTTATCCATCATTAGGACCTGTGCACAGCATTATAATACTAGCTGGATTGTTAGGGGGAAATTTTCAATTACATTTCAGATCATTGGGAAGAGGTGAATTAATATTACATTTTAACAATGTTTGCATTTATCTGTGAGACTTTTCATACAAATCCACACATTGGAAAAAGAAATGTGCCCAAATATTTGGCTAAAAAGATTATAGTCAGTACAATCAAAGCAACTAGCTGGCGGTTTGGCTCAAATACTGTACTCTGCAGGGTATGGAGGATGGTAGTCCTAATGGGTCAGGTTTGTTTCTTAAAGAGAGTAGTGAATGCATGGTCATAACAGTTGAGGACATCTCTACATTGCATGGGCAAAACAGTCTCTAGAATCTGTATACTCGGAGGACACTTTGCAGAAGCAAAGAGTCCACAGGTGTTTTGCTGTGTACAACTACAGTGCTCTTTTGTGCCTATTATATAGATGGGAGACACTGTGACAGTGGCTTATACCTGGCTAAACCTTGGAAAGCAATTTCAGCTGATAATATAAGAACTTTAGGCACTATAATTTAAAACTAAGTGGAGAATGCACAACATTTGGTGGTCTCTATCCCTAGAGGGACTGAAACAGAGGCTCAGTACATATTACAGTGGCTTTATAAAGGAGATTTAAGCATCAATTGAGTGGGACAGGTTTATCAGATGACCATTAAATTCTCTTCTAATTGTGACAATCTTGATACATATTCAACTGAATTTATACATGTGTGGCATAATCTCTACATCTTATGCAACCTGAGATCTAAAGATAGATGAAGCAGAAAAGGAAATCGTTTCTTTTTTGCCTAGCTAGCACAGTGGCTCTCAACAAAGAACTCTTTTGGATTTCAAAAGAATTTGGTTGGGCATGGTGGCTCACACCTGTAATCCCAGCACTTAGGGAGGCCAAGGCAGGTGGATCACAAAGTCAGGAGTTCAAGACCAGCCTGGCCAAGATGGTGAAACCCTGTCCTTACTAAAAATATGAAAATTAGCCAGGTATGGGTCCTTACTAAAAATACAAAAATTACCTGGGTGTGGTGGTGGGTGCCTGTAATCCCAGCTACTTGGGAAGCTGAGACAGAATACTGCTTGAACCTGGGAGGTGGAGGTTGCAGTGAGCTGAGATCATGCTACTGCACTCCAGCCTGGGCAACAGAGCAAGACTCCATTTCAAAAAAAAAAAAGAATTTCTGATGACCTCCCCACCCACATGAGGGCTTTATTTTATTATCTGTTGATTTTCAGACTGCATTTTCACTTTAGAGTCTAGGGTTTCTTACATGAGCAATTTCCCACCCATATCTTTGGGGGCTGGGGACATGGGATGGTCATTATCCCAAAGATCTGAAAATCTCTGGTCCAGTTACTATACAATGTAGGGTTACTTAATATAGTATGATCCAGAACAACAGAAACTTAACTTTCATTTATATTTTTGAATGAGCATCATATTTTCCCATATTGTACTGCTTGAGGAACAAAGGAGCAAATGGTGTGATGAATGAATCTTCCCTTTACGCTGGCTTAAGCATGTGACTCTGGGACAATGCAGGTGGAGGTCCCTGGTGATGACGAAAATAACCAACTGAAGGATCCTTCCACAACTCTACCACATGGCAGTTACTAGCTCCCCTGCAATCCATCCAACTGATTTTCTTTTTCACCTACCAACATTTCCAAAGCTTATAAATGCTTAATTTTCCAGTTCATTAGAGGATTGTGGAAAAACCACTTCTTGCTTCAAATGAAAAATATTAATTCTAACTTTGATTTTAAATATTTACTAATTCAAAAATCAGGAGAAAATTTCATGTCTTTACTATGTATAAAATGGAAGAATTTTTTTTGTAAAATACCATATTTTAGCATATGTAGAAATGCAGTGTTTTTCTTTCTTTTTTTTTTTTTTTTGAGACAGGGTATTGCCCAGGCTAGAGTGTAGTGGCCACGATCTCGGCTCACTGTAACCTCTGCCTCCCGGGTTCAAGCAATTCTCCTGCCTCAGCCTCCTTAGTAGCTGGGATTACAGGCGTGCACCACCATGCCCAGCTAACTTTTGTATTTTTAGTAGAGACAGGGTTTCACCATGTTAGTCAGGCTGGTTTCGAACTCCTGGCCTCAAGTGATCCGCCCACCTCGGCCTCCCAAAGTGCTGAGATTACAGGTGTGAGCCACTACACCCAGCCTAATATGTGTATTTTTGCTCTTCTACTCTTAAAACTCTCCTGAGCTCAAGGTAGTACTACTCATTGGGTCTCCAAAAAGAGTGTAGTTATCTTAGAGATATTTCACTGCACAAGGCTGGCAGCTTGATCTTGTATGGGGAACTCTCTCAGTTTCAAATCTAAACATTTTATCCCCTGCCATAAGCTGGAACAGAGGCATCAATGAAGTGAAATTAGTAATAAAATGTAGTAATTTTACACTGCAGTGGCTGCTGGATCAGATTTAGAAGTCATAACTGCCTCAAGTTTGAAGCCTGGCTCTCCTACTTATCAGCTGTATGACTTCGGGCTACTTAATTTTAACCTTTCTGGGACGGAGATCCCATATCTTAAATAATAATAGCAGTTATCTCAAAGGATTAAATAGTACATGCAAAGCACTCAGGGCAACATCATACTTTCAGAAATGTTGGCTATTTTAACTATTATTTCTGTAAGTTGGGCATATTTCAATTACTGAGAATCTCTAAAGTAGTTCTGAAGCCCACCTCACAGAGTTGCAAAGGGTTTGGTCAATGCAACCTTACTTTTCACACCTTTTAATTTCTGCAGTGGGCTACGGTAGCAGCCACTAGCACAGGTAGCTATTGAGCACTCCAACTGTGTCTAGTCGGAATTGAGATGTGCTGGAAGTGGAAAATACACATCAGATTTCGAAGATTTAATACGAAGAACGTAAAATCTCAATTTTAAAATATTTGATGAAGCAATGAAATAGCAATGTCTCGGATAATACTGGGCTAAATGAAGAATATAATTAAAATTAATTTCATGAGTTTCTTTTCACTTTTTAAATGTAGCTACCCCAAAACTTAAAATGGCATAAGGGGCTCGCACTATATTTGTACTGTACAGAGTTTAGGTAAAACCTTGCTGCTCATAACGTGGACAGCCGCACCTGGGAGCTTCTTAGAAACGCAGATGTTCGCGCTTGTACCCAGACCTATTCCAAGGCAATGCTTACATCTCGCTCCCGATTATTCCGCTGTTTAGCGGAATGAAGAGGGCAGATCTGGCTCCAAAGCCACATGCAGCGAATAACTACTAACTGCTTTCCGAATACAGCAAAGGGATGAGGAAGAAAGAACTGTCTGAGAAGTAACAGAGGAGGAAAATACACTCAAATTCTAGAAACAAGAAACAGTGGAGAAAGACTCAACCTGGGAGATTAAGTGGAAGGGCAATCCCAGACCTCCGTCTCCATAAAAGTAGAGGGAGATGCAAACTGAGATAAGACCTACAATCGAAACGCGTCAAGGTCCAGGAAACTGTCCCTCAAATCTAGTCTTACCCGCCCCTCAGCGGCCTCAGCTAAGCTAGGCCTGGGCCCGAACGAGTCTCCGGTTGGGGTTCGACGCGAACCACCATCCTCCCCAAGGCTGCACGGTTCCATGGGGCATCTCTCCACCTTTCGCTTAAAGTCCCGTTTCTCAAGACACAGAACGCGTTTCCTGGGGCTCACCTGCCTCTGAGCCGCCCCAACGGCCTGCACCTTCGCCACCGCCACCTTCAAGTCCTTCCGCAGAGAGCCCGCCCCCCGCTCCCATTGGTCAGGTCGCTCGTCACTCCTGAAGGGCGGGGTCGGACACGCGAGGCTGTCGAGGACGCCATGGCAACCGGTCTCGAAACTACATCTCCCGGCAGGTTCCGCTCGGGGGCGGGGGAAGAGGCGAGGCACCGCTTCAAGGGCTACCAATAAATGGGCGAAGTTGGAATCGCCTGGATGGGTTCCGTTTTATGCAAATTCTAACTGAAAACCACACCCTTCCTCATTCCAACCACAGCCCTTGCCAACCGCTTTGGGTTGTGCTTCGCCTCTCTTTTCTTTTCCACATTATTCTCTCCTTTAAAACCTCCAATAATTAAGTTAGTTAAGTGCATCCTATCTAGCGTCTCGCACGGAAACGAAAAGATGCACCGAAATCTTGGAACAAAATCTCTATAAACCACGATAGGGCAACATCAGACAAGAAATCTCCGGTTACGCCTACGTCGGGGGAAGAGGAGTGCTAATCTCGCCCCCCTCTCAACGCCTGCTGATTGGCTCATTTGGCTTGTCACTCTGTTGTCTTACATTTCTTTGGCTCTCGCTCCTTGGGTTGGCTCGGTGGGCGGGGCCAGTGGTAGGGGGCGGTGAGAAGGTGCGAGCCTCTTCTTCCGATTGGCAGGAGGTTTTCCCACCCATTTGTGGGCGGAGACGGGTGGATGGGGGCGGGGGAGGCAGGGGAGGGAGATGAGGAGATAGGCGGGAGCGAGGGAGCGAGGGAGGGAGAGAAGGAGGTAGAGAGGAGTGGAGGCGACAGGGGAGGGAGCGCAGCTTGGTTGCTCCGTAGTACGGCGGCTCGCGAGGAAGAACCCCGAGCGGGCTCCGGGACTGACGGAGAGGCGGGCGGGGATGATTTGCGGGGCTGCGGCTCCTGCGTCCCTCCCCGCGGCGCGTGAGCGGCACTGATTTGTCCCTGGGGCGGCAGCGCGGACCCGCCCGGAGATGAGGTGAGGAGCGGGCTGCACGGCGGCGGCCTGGACCGCGGGCGGCGGCGGGGGCGGGGGTCGGCGCGGGGGTCGGCGCGATGGCCGCCCGGGGCGTTCGACCCGCGCCCGGCGCTTGTCCCCCCGGCCGCCCTTCGCTCCTCGCCGCGCGCCCGGGAGACGGCGGCGGCCGCCTCTCCGCCTCGTCCTTCCCGTCCTCGGGGGCGGCGGCGGGGCGGCGGGCGGACCCGCACCGGGAGGCCGGGGGCCGCGGCGGGCCGTGGCGTGGCGGCCGCGGGACCGGCGTGGGGATGAATGGGCGCCGCGGCCCCGTCGCCGAGCGGGTTCTCTCCTGCCGCGGAGACCCCGGGCGGCCGCTCCTTCCCGGGCTGACCTCGCTGCCCTCGGCCACCGGCGCGGGGCGGCCCGGCCTCGCCTCCTGCTGGCGTCCCGGGAACCCGCGCTGGAGGGAGCGGCGCCGCCTCTGCTTGGAGCCCCGGCTCCTTCCTCGGCCCCTCACTCGCGTGCCTGCAGAATCCTGGGTCAGTGAAGGGCAGGCAATGCCGTTCGGCCCCAGGGCGCGCCGCGGGGCCGCCCCTGAAGGCATTTAACTGAGAGCGGCTCCCGCGCCCTGTGAGCGCGTCCCCGGGTCCGCCGCGTCCCTTCCCTTCTTACGCACCGACACGGTTTTGTGGTGCGGACCCAAGGCACAATTGCGGCCGCTTGCTTGCACGAGGGAATGCCATCAGAATTCCCAAGAAAAGGAAACCGGTGAGGAGTCGGCCGCACCTTCCTGCGCTTCTGCTTGCTTTGGGATTAGAAAACAACTTCGGAGATTACATTTCCTATGGGCAATCTTTTGTTGTGATTCAGACTCAAGAAGGCTTTGCTTTGGAAGAAATAGATTAGCGGCTTCTCTGTGGAGTTGGAGGCGATGGAGATTTTTATAGCCTCTTCAATATGAAAGTTTCCTCTAGAACTTTGCTATCATCAGTGCTATTCTGAGGGCAGCAGCAACCTGGAAATTTAAATATATGCAGGCTCCGGCCAGATGCGTTTCTTTGTGCCTGTCTGTTGGCATTCTTCTCTTGCTGTTCCCTCTTGATCAAAATGTACAGTTAATAAAAACAGGGCCAATGAGAGGGTGGATAATAACAGCAAATCCCATACAAACAAATGCCGCTAGAAATTCTCAGTTCTGTCATCGGGGAGGCAGTTTTGCTAATCCCGTGGAACGGATGAAGAGAAAGGCACAGAGATCTCATGGATTATGTAGTGGACAGGATGTGAGGACAGGAACTGGGGCCAGGACCCAGCAGGCCAGCTGGTTTGCATGGTGCCACTCCAAACTCCCAAAATATGAATAGGTGGAATGTATTTTTTGGGATATCTTTATTTTTAGATGACTTTAAGGCTGAGAGTGCAGAAGCTTAAACACCCTTCATAGTTATTATTTCTTAGTTTATCTCTGAGAACAAAATATGTTTCTGTTTAAAATTTCTTTTACTGGTTTGCTGGAAACATTTTGATGGGAGCTTCCTTGTAAGTAAAAACATTAAAAAATACATACGTATGAAAGAAAAATCCTTTCTGCAGGTGGATTTGTAAAGAATCCAGGGACTTTTAAGTCATATAAATTAAGGAGTGAGGAACACTAATTTGATGATGGTGTTAAAATTACTTCAGACACCTTTAAGTAATCCAGTAAAGATCATTTCTGATAGTATGATCTTTTTTAAAAAATGGTATTTCTGTATCTAAGAATATATCTGTTGAAATTACTGAGGTTCATGGTACCTTCAGAAATCTCCATTATTATTCTGCCTGAGTAAGAGAGGAAATGAACAAATTTTTAATGTACTTTGGAACCCTGTGGATTGCTCAGATACTAAGCATTGTGAAATAGGGCATAAAATAGGGTAGCAAGTTAGTTCTGTGAAATGTTTGTCTCTCCTGGCATTTTTTTTTTCTTGGCAGTTGGCTAGAAATTTTCTTTTTCTTAAAGCTTATCTCTAATATTGGTAGTAGAACCTCTGCTCAAGTTTATCTTTTCCCCAAATACCTAGATTAGGACAAACTATCAAAGCTCCTGTAAGAGATTAAGGAGGAGCTGATGGTAAACTCCTTTGCTTTATTTTTTATTTTTTTAAGACAGGGTCTGGCTGTGTCACTCAGGCTGGAGTGTAGTGGTGCAATCATGGCACGCTGCAGCCTCTAACTCCTGGGCTCCAGTGATCTTCCTGCCTCAGCTTCTGGTGTATCTGGGACCATGGGTGCATGCCACCATGGCCAGCTAGTTTTAAAATTTTTTTCTAGAGACAGGGTCTCTCTATGTTACTCAGGCTGGTCTAAAAGGCCTGCACTAAAGGATTCTCCCACCCAGGCACTAGGCCTCCCAAAGAGCTGGGATTACAGGGATGAGCCACTGTGCCTCGTCCAAATTCTCCTACTCTAAATCGTCTTTTTAATTTGCTAAAATTTGTGAGTTGTAGAGAATTAATGACATGAGAGTTGGGGTTATATTACACACCTCACATTATTCTGCCATAGAGCTATTGCCTTCTGAATGATCACTTCCTCCTGAATGGCTCCACTTACTGGTTGGGTTTCTCAAAGTGTGGACCACCGATCATTTACATCAGCGTTAATGGAGGCACTTGTTAAAAATACAGGCTTTGGGCATGGCGGCTCAAGCCTGGAATCCCAACACTTTGGGAGACTGAAATAGGAGGCTAGCTTGGGCCCAGGAATTTGAGACCACCTTGGACAACATAGAGAAACCTTGCTTCTGAAAAAATTAAAAAAAAAAAAAAATACGCTGGGCATAGTGACTCGTGCCTATATTCCCAGCTCTTCTAGAGGCTGGAGTGGGAGGTTCTGGTTCACTTGAGCCCAGGAGATCGAGGCTGCAGTGAGCCAGGATTGTCCTACTGCACTCTAGCATGGACAACAGAGAGCCTGTGTCCAAAGAGTAAGTAAGTAAATAAATAACATAAAAATAAATACACGTCTCTGTCACCTCACCTCAGAATCAGACAGCTGGAGGTGGGGCCCTGGAGTTGGTATTTTTAATGCCTTCTCCAGGAATTTCTCCTGCATAGGGAAGTTGGAAACCAATGGCTTCCTTCTTGCTGAGCATCTCCTGAGACCAGCTCCTGAAGTGGATAGAAAGTTGTTTTTTTTTTTTTTTTTGAGACAGGGTCTCGCTCTGTTGCCAGGCACCAGGCTGGAGTGCAGTAGCGTGATCTCGGGTCACTGCAACCTCTGCCTCCCAGGTTCAAGCAATTCTCCTACCTCAGCCTCCCAAGTAGCTGGGACTACAGGCGCACGCCACCACGCCCAGCTAATTTTTGTATTTTTAGTAGAGACAGGGTTTCACCATGTTGGCCAGGATGGTCTCTATCTCTTGACCTCGTATTCCCCCCGCCTTGGCCTCCCAATGTGCTGGGATTACAGGTGTGAGCCACCTCGCCTGGCCCCGATAGAAAGTTTTTCAAGTGGCAGGTTAAGTTTTATGCCTTAGGCTGCTAATAAAAAACAATTAACCATGACCTTCAGCTGCATAATTGTACCTGTCATGTACCTTTCAGAAGGCAGAGGCTTTGGTTCACCACTGTACCACCAGGGCCTAAAACAGTGCCTGGCAGAACTTAATTAAATATTTGTTGAGTGAATACATGAACTACATTGCAGTAAGGCCAATTGTTTTTGTTTTTTTTTTTTGAGGTGGAGTGTCACTCTGTTGCCCAGGCTGGAATGCAGTGGCATGATCTCAGCTCACTGCAACCTCCACCTCCCGGGTTCAAGCAGTTCTCTGCTTCAGCTTCCCAGGTAGCTGGGATTACAGATGCCCACCACCATTCCAGGCTAATTTTTTTGTATGTTTAGTAGAGATGGGGTTTCACCATTTTGGCCAGGCTGGTCTTGAACTCCTGACCTCACGGTTTGAAATCCTGACTGAACTCCTGATCCACCTGCTTTGGCCCCCCAAAGTGCTGGGATTACAGGTGTGAGCCATTCCACCCGGCCAGGCCAATCTTTTAAAAGTTTACTTGTCAAATTAATCTGTAACTTAGTAGTCACTGATTTTTTAAATTAGGAGCCACAAGCAGCATACCCCAGTGACTCCTGTAAGTTTGGTTAGTTTAGAAGGGAGAGACCTTTCCCAGGAGTAGTGTGCTCGAGGCGATTAGCCAGAAAGAAGATTCACAGCAAAGCATTTGCTTAGAGACTCCAAATGTAAATTTAAGTCACAGTGTAGTGATACATCTTATGTCATACTTACATTTGGTATATTGTCTTATATCGAAATACCGTTTTATAAACCATAATTCCAACATACTGCTATAAAAATTGGTTGCTAACAAATACAGAAAGTTGTTATGTTTTCCAATTTCACTTTTCATGTTAATAAAATTTGACCTTTACCCCTTCTTTTCAAGAGTTCACCACAGGGCACCATAGATATTATGTAGTTAAGAATGCAGACTCTGGAGAATATTGTGTTTGACTACACGTAGTTGGTGAGTTTGATCTACCCTCTCAATGCCTCATTTCTCAGCTGAAAATAGGAATAGCAATAATAAAGTTCAGATAT